ATATATATATATGTATGTATGTGTGTGTGCGTTTATGTTTTTCTCTTTGATTGACAGATAGGCAACTTGCAAATAAATGAAAAAGATGACAAGCTGGAAGCTGCAGCAAATGGTGAGAAGAACTTGTATGACCTGCTAAGTTAGATTAATATTTTTGTGTAATGCTGTTGTGGATTCTCATAATGAATGATGTTGTTGATATCGTGTTTTTCGTCCTTTCCTTTTATTAATAAGGTGCAAAGACAGAAGGCGATGGAGTGAAGGCGGAGGACGATGATAAAGGTGACATTCACAGCAGAATCATCACACAGCCACAGTCTGTTTTCTTCAGTTTGACTATCTGTGTTTATTCTCCGCATGAGACTTGACTAAAACTGATGTGAATTGCAGATGACAAGGCAGCACAGTCACTGCTGAATAAACTGATCCGCAGTAATCTAGTGAACACGACCAATCAAGTTGAAGTCCTTCAGAGGGATCCGAGTTCTCCGCTATACTCTGTCAAGTCGTTTGAAGAGCTGCGATTGTGAGTTTGACCGTGTTCCCCCTCCTGATTGTATTACAGCTTTAACAGCGGTCAGACTAGCATGATAATGTTTGTCTTATCAAATGCGTTTTCTTCTATGGTTTACTTTTTTTTTTTTGGCCAGAAAACCTCAGCTACTGCAGGGAGTGTATGCCTTGGGTTTCAACAGACCCTCCAAAATCCAGGAGACCGCATTGCCCATGATGCTCGCAGAACCGTAAGTTTGTTAACCTTTATTTCTCCATTTAAATCCAACTTGATGCAGTCTTTTTTTTGGTGCTAGATCAAAAGTGGTTTTCTGTATGTGTGCTTCAGTGTCTGTTAGTCATGTGTGCCCCACATTAGGTTCTTGTTCATGACTTATTGAGCTTTTGACATCAAGCATGTTCTGCGCCTTTTCTCAAACCTTTATTTCTCCATTTAAATCCAACTTGATGCAGTCTTTTTTTCTTTTTTTTGGTGCTAGATCAAAAGTGGTTTTCTGTATGTGTGCTTCAGTGTCTGTTAGTCATGTGTGCCCCACATTAGGTTCTTGTTCATGACTTATTGAGCTTTTGACATCAAGCATGTTCTGCGCCTTTTCTCATTCATGCGTTTCTTTTTCCGACTAATATGTTAAACTTTTAGTACTGTGTTTTGTAACGATTATTTTGTGGTCAAATGGCAAGTTATGCAGGATCCCAAAAACGGTGACATTAAGCACTGAATTGTGTATAACTGGAGGGACTATTAATTAGGGTTGGGTACCTCTGTGTAATTACAAAAACATTTATTTCAGTGAAAAAATAAGTCCAAAAGTCTCAATTTCAACATTTTGAACAATAGGGCCCTACAAACTTTTTCTTTCTTTCTTTTTTTTCCCCCAGAAATTCTCGTTTGAATTTTTCTGAAAATCAAATGAAGGCATTAAACATTTATTTTAAATCAAATGAAAATTAAACCCTTTTATTTTTTGGCAAACAAACTGAGGTTTACTGTTGAAATTAATACATGGAAGAAAAATTCCTTGAAAAATTTTTTAATAGGCTAATAATTGTATAATTTTTTTTCTACAATCCAGTGATTAATCTGGTTGTAATATTTATTTTTATCATTTAATTGTTTTATTTAAATTTGATAGAAAATTGAATTTTTAAAGATGTACTTTATACTGTACAGTAATACAAGAGTAATATATTTCTGTTACATGTTAAACTGTACTTTTATTTTGACAGGTTGCCATGAAGTTTCTGTGTGTGTATACAGTATGATGATGCTAGTTTTCTCAAATGAAACGTTAAAATTCTCACGAAGTGACTCTCACAGCAGCTCGGGATTAAGTTTTTGTGTTCAT